TATATATATAACATAAATTAAAGTTTCTACATCAAAATACAAGTAAATAGCTCAATGAATCTACATGAATGAGAACTAAGCAAAAATTCATTAGGTAAATATAATAATCAAATTAATCATCATAAATATAATTAATTATTAAATCAAACGGAATTAATTAAATATGTAAGAATATATAAAATAGAATTAAAGTATTTTAATCAAATTATCATCAAACTTGCTTATCTTATTCACGTAATTAATGTTATAATTACCATATTTATACTGCAAAAGTAATTTTAATAAATTTGGTGAATTAAATATAAAGCAAAATCATTTATATGTCAAATTCATGTACATGTTCACTAATTATATGCTAATAATAAAAAACGAACACATTTATTTTGTTAACAATGATCAAAATAATTAAAAGCAAAACAAAATACGCATAAAATCATAAACAGATATTAAGGTTGTTAAATAGTTGTTAATTATATTATAATTAAAAAAATAGAGTGAAGCGCATGATACATGGGAGGTGAGGTGGTTAGATAGGATTGAGGAGCATTTTTCAGTTTATAAACCTGATCCAATTTGGGTCAACATGTTGACAATTTGCGTTGAACTTGGAATACAAGATCAATTATTAATCAAACAAAAACAAAGAACAAACTTTATATGCTAACTACCTAGTAAATCTAGATCAAATCAAATTTTATATATAAAAAAAAAATTAGGTGAAAATGTCTTGACATAAAGATAATTAAAATAAATCACAAAATTATTGAATTTATATTAGGATGACTGATTTAACAAAAGCATACCGAGTCAGCCGATTCGTTGAGCTAACAAGGCAGTCTGGTGAGACCAACTAGATCAAGTAACCTGGCCAAGGGACCAAGTAGAAAAGTTTGCTCTAGAAGTCAAATAATAAGATACAATTAAGGTAATTGAGGCAATACATATGAGAAATTTTGTCTAGCAATATGAATACGAGAAGTTCAATGCAATGTTTCTTAAGACTCGATCAAATGAACTTGCATACTCATTGCAGTACTGATTGGGCTGAGATAAGTATTATCAAGGACAATCTGTCATAAGCATTATTTAAATATAATTTTTAAGAATTGATAATTATTATAAGCATTACCAATTGAATATTTTAATGAATAATGCTCATGATAAAAGAAAATTATAAGAGATAGGGAGTGTATCCCTTGAGATCTATGAGTAATAATGATGTTTCTAATATATAAATCAACTCACTTATAAATAAGTGTGATCATAAGAAAATCTAATTAAAAATTATCCACAAGCAAATTGAAATTGACAATGACTGTATTTTATAATTTAAATAAAAAATAAAAAGAATCTACTAATTCTAATTAAAATTAAATGTGAATATTCATTTAAAAACATTATCCCTTAAAAGTTGCCAAATGCCTGACTTTAATTGAAGGAAACCAGCAGAATCCTGCTGGCAAAGGTTCTGCTGGCAAAGGTTCAACCTTTGCCGGCCCGAGCCGTTTCCAGCTGGAACCTGAGTCCACTTCTTCCTCGAAGTTATACTCTGAGTTAAAGCCCGCGTCTAAGCCACGCCAAGCAACAATTTTTAGGTGATTAATGGAAGAAACGCGGGGAGAATACAATGCAAATAGGATCCGACCCGGTCTTCCCGAAAATATCTCCCTCCCCTGCAGCTTCATAGAAAGTCGCCTCCTTTTTCCCTATCCAACTTCTCGTTCCTTCCTTTGGCAGAATCCTAGAACTTCTCACTTGGCACCGATGGCCACTCCTTCCTCGAATTCCCTGCCTGTCCTCTATATAACCAACCATCTCACCCCCGCTCCGCTTGTCGATTCAATCTTCGAAAGTCTTAACCTTTTTTGTCCACTCAAATGGCTGGAAGTGCTATCGAGTTCGAGGATTTCCTTCCCATCATCGCGGAGAAGCTAGGGGAGGAGGGTCTGATTGCGGAGCTTTGCAACGGTTTTCGTCTTCTGATGGATCCGGCGAGGGGGCTTATCACCTTCGACAGTCTTAAGAGGAACGCGGCTTTGCTAGGGCTTGATGGGATGCGGGATGATGAGCTTTGGGGGATGCTGAGGGAAGGGGACCTTGATGGCGACGGCTCGCTTAGCGAGATGGAGTTTTGTGCGCTTATGGTGCGGCTTAGCCCGGAGCTTATGGAGGAGTCGTGGCGATTGGTGGATGAGGCGTTTCAGCAAACAGTTAAATCTCCTTCAGATTTTTTTTAGTCTGTAGCTTTCTTTTAAATCTAACAGGTTTAGATTGGATTGGATTGGATGGTTGTTCTTTTTTTTCTGATTGTGAGCGATTGGTGGTGTTTTTATGACCATTTTTAGCTGATGGCCTTTTAGTTTTGATGTTATACTTAACATTCCTTTTGGAAATTGTATGGAACCTCTGTGAAACAGAATAATTATGAATATAATGTTTTCTCTTGCTTTTACACTTCTTCATGTTCTAGTTATTTGGAATCAATCTTTTTCTCTTGAGGAAGATCAACTTTATTTTTTATTTTGATGAAATTTATTTTGTAAACCAATGACATTAACCCTTTTCTTTATAAACTTTCATCTTAATAGTGTGTGTGGGTGGACTCAAGTTGTAGATGGCTCAACTTGATCAAGCAGCAAATGACTTGGAAATTTTGTTTTAGAAACACCATAGTTTGGGCTATTCAATTTCTTTTTCATGTTTTTAAAAAAGCCTTACAATTGGGTGACAAGGGTATCTTCATGTTTATGGTGTTAGATAGAACACATGTTGCCAAACTTGTAATTTCCGTCAACAACTCTAATCCTAGTTAGGAATAGAATGCCAACTAGTGGTTAAAATAGATTGAGGATTCAATATTGGTTTCTGCAAACGGCTTTTGAGGAGATCGTAATTGAGAGGAGCTTACTTAGTTGCTTCATGGGTTTTGTGTTGCAAATTCTGAAGGAAGATGATAAATTTATTTTAGATTTTGGACATTTCATTGTGATTTAGGTCAAAATATATGATGGAGTTGTGATGACTTTAGGAGGGGTTTTACATGTTTCCAGGGGCTTTATTTTTCTTATAAGGTCAAAAAATTGGAAACATTTAAATTATTCAGGGTAGCAAAATAGTTGCTGATACATCAATTTCTATCTCAGATGATTCAACTAGATTATTTCATATAATGCTTTGGCTAATGTCTGAGTAGGGCTTATTAGGGTTGAGTACAAAGGGTTTGTTTTGTGGTTAGAGGATTGGAGCTTTAGAGTTTTGTGAGCATTGTAGTCCGGTGAGCATTATAAATTGAGGTCTCCTATTTAGTTCATAGGCGTATGTGCACTTTGGATAATATTTATTATGACTTATAGGATACTTCTAGTGTTAGATCCAAATGTGGTTTTAGATTCACGCTTTCATTCACAGATGATTCTTTACATTAGTCATATTTTTTATGCATGAGCAAAAGAGGGATGGATTATTTTTACCTAGTTTCAAACTTATAACGCCCCTCATGATCGTTGATTCTATTAGAATAAAAATGTAAACTTGACGTTAAAAAAAACATGAGGATCAAATATCAGTAAAAGCGGCTAGTTGACGATCAAAATTGAGCAGAGTTGTTTGCCAGCTTCTCGATGGTTTCTATGCTTGAAGATTTTGAAGGAAGAAATTCAACTTGTTTTTTTAACATTAGGTGGTAAAAAGTTTTCTACTTTTACTTTTTTGGCTTTCCTTCCAAAAATTTACTCCAATTTAGTGAGATCTTCTCCACATTTTCTCATTTAGTTTGTGAGCATGAAGTTTGATTAATGTCGTATTTCTTCTCAAATTATCATAAATATTTTGATAATATAATTATCTTTGCCTTATCGCTTTGTGTATGTTGGTTAACTTTTATTGAACCACTTAAACGTTTTTGTTCCTGTTCTTGTGCTTACTTTTATTGTTTCATAACAAATTTTTATATGTGATGTTAATTTTCTTTTTTCGAAGTCAAATTTATTTGCTCTTTTTGGCGCTTTCAAATGAAATTTTTTTGGCACTTCTCATTTCTGATCCAATAAATTGGTATCTGAGCAACTTTGTCTGGTTAAACCTAGGAAATGTTTACTTTTGCTGTTTTCATAACAAATTTGTATATGCAATGTGTGTTGGTGGACTCAAATTATAGATGGCTCAACTTAATTAGGCAGTAAATGACTTGAAAAAATTGTTTTTCATGTTCTTAAAACACTATAGTTGGGGCTATTCAATTTTTTTCATGTTTTAAAAGCACTATAATTGGGTGACAAGGGTAGTTTCCTGTTTATGCTTTTAGATAGAACACATGATACCAAACTTGTAATTTACCCCAACAACACAAATCCTGCCAGGAAGAAATTGCCAACTTCTGGTTAAAATAAATTGAGGATCAAATATTGGCTTCTGCAAAAGGCTTTTGTAGGAGATGATAACTGCGAAGACTTTGCTTGGCAGTTTCTTCATGTTTTTGTGTTTCAAAATTTTGAAGGAAGAAGATAAATTTAATTTCCATTTTGGAGATTTGGTCATAATTCAGATCAAGATAAGATGGAGTTTTGATGACTTTAGGAAAGGTTAGAAATGTGTGAATTTTGAAGATGAATCTCATGTATTTTTATTTTTTAAGCTTCAATGCTGATTGTGGGGTTTTACTTGTTTGAAGGGGCATTAATTTTTTGATAACGGCAAAAGATTGGAAATCCATAAATTATTCAGTGTAGCAAAACTATTGATGATACATGAATTTCTTCCTCAGATGATTCAACTAGATTATTTCATGTAATGCTTTGGCTCATGTCAGAGTGGGTCTTATTAGAGTCGAGTAAAAGGGATTTGTTTTGTGGCTAGAGGATTGGAGCTTTAGACTTTTGTGAGCATTGTATTCCGGGCGAGCGTTATAAGTTGAGGTCCCCTACTAAGTTCATAGGAATAGGGGCACTTTGGATAATATTCAGTATGACTTATTAGGGTACTTCTATTGTTAGATCCAAATGTGGTTTTAGATGCATTTTTTCATTCATAGATGTTTCTTTACATTAGGCATGGTTTTCATACATAAGCAAAAGAGTAATGTATTATTTATAAATAATGTCAAACTTGTAACATCCATCATGATTGTTGATACTGCTAGAAAAAATGAGAACTTGAGGTTAAAAAAAAAGAGGACCAAATATCAGCTAGAAGCGGCTTTTGTAGAAAATCAAAATTGAGCGGAGTTATTTGCCAACTTCTTCATGGTTTGTAAGTTTGAAGGTTTTGAAGGAAGAAGACAATTTGCTTTTTTCTCTTGGATATTAGGTGGGAAGTTGGTGGGAAAAATTATCTTCTTCTTTTTCGTCTTTCTTTATATAAAGTTGTTCCAATTTATTAAGATCTTTTCCACACTTTTTCATTTACTTTGTGAGTAGGAAGTTTTATTAATATTGTTTCTCTTCTCGAATTGTTATCAATATTTTGATAATAGAACTGTCTTTGCCTTATCGCTTTGTGTATGTTGGTCAATTTGGATTGAACCAAATAAAACTTGTTGTTCTTGTTCTTGTGTTTACTTTGTGCATGCAATGTTAGTTTTCTTTCTTTTAAGTTAAATTTATTTGCTCTTTTTGGTGCTTTCAAATGAAATTCTTTGGGTACTTCTGATCCAATAAATGGTATCAGACCAACATTGTCAATTTAAAACTAGGAGATGGGATCATCAGAGCCTTCTGCCGACAATACTAAATATAAGTTCTGAATATTCAATTGGAATAATTATTTTAACATTTGGTAAATGAAAATGAGAGCATCTTTGTCCGAATAGGGCTTTCTTAAAGTTTTGAAGGTTTAGATTCCCTAATTGACGTGGATGAGGGATCATAGATGAATCCGAGAGCTCCTGGTTCAATTATCCTAAGTTTGGGGGACAATTCTTCGAAGGGTAGCAATTAAGAGCACATTGTACATTTGTTTTCATAAAAGTTGGAATCTTTATGCATTACTAAGTTTTTTACAAATCGCTTCCATTTAAAGCAACAATTGTTTGCATTCCACACCAAAGATGGTATTTCACTTTTAGCAACATTATTTTGTTTCTTCAACTAAAGATTGAATCCTTGATTATATATGTTTATATCACTTGACCCGTTCATAGAGATTGGTTAATCTCATATAGATCTGTCAATGGTGAACATGTTTTCATGAGTAATGATATTTACTATAAGATAATTGGGATATAAATGATTCAGATCAAAATATATTAAGTACTTGAGAGGTTGGATATGTGCAAATTTTGAAGAAGAATATTATGTATTTTTGTTGTTTAGATACTAATAGGTGTATATTCAATGCTAACGGCAGAGTTTTACATGTTTTTAAGGGGCGTAATAATTTTGATGAGGGAAAAGAAGATTGACAATCTTTACTTCCTTCATCGTAGCAAATCACAGGCGATACATCATTTTCTTTTTAGATGATTTATACATCTGAGTAGAGCTTATTAAAGTTTAACAAAGGAAAAAAAGTGAAAATAGTCTACTGACTTTTGTGGGGGTCTCTTTTAGTCCCAAAATCTACAAAAGTGTCAGTTTAGTTCTTAGATTCTTTTGATATGGATTAAAATAGTTCTACCTATGGACTCGTTCCACCCATATTAAAAGAAACTTAAGGACTAATGCGACACTTTGATAGACTCGGGGACTAAGATGATCCCATGTAAATAATCGGTAGACTATTTTGACATTATACTCGCTAAGCAAAAGAGGTTTTTTTTGTGGTTAGAAAATTAGAGTTTAGTGTTATTTTGAGGTTTCCTACTAGACTTATAGGACCAAGGACACTTTGGATTCATGACTTATACGGCCCTGCAATTGTGGTAGTTCTAAATGCATGTTTTTCTTCATAAAATTTTCCTTACAAGTGGCATGCATTTTCATCCTTGAAGGATTGATGCATTATTTATGTTATTTTTAATAGTAATTTTCTTCTTCTATTTAGAAAAACAATGTACATCATATCACAAGTCATCATCAACTAATTAGATTTATTTATTTTTATATTTTTATTTGTTTTATTGGATACATGTAATGTTCTTCTTCTATTAATGCTGTTATTTCTCTTTGTTGATGCCATTTGGGTTCATTTGAAGATGTCTTGCTCAATATTCTATGGTTTTGTTTGACCATTCCATTGATTTCCTTGTCCTTAGAATCAATTTTTTCTTGATTGTTTGGAAGTTTTCTCTACTGCTTGTGACAAAAATTGCAGCCAAAGTTATTTATTTATTAGGAAATTTACATACATTGCACTCAATTCTTATGCATTTATATAGCAGACACCTAAACCTTAAGGGGCATTTGCATATATTGCACACAATTTTTATATATTTACATCTCACACCTAAACTTTCATATTTACACATATAGCACTCAAGTTTGTAATATC